TAAAGTTCTTACTATTTATTTTATATGAAAACAATGGGTGTTGAATCTATAATTAAAAAGAGATGTAAATCACGTGAAGCGGTGATGCCTGACGTATGAAAACGCGTTTATCAACAACTACTACTACTCTGAAAAACCAAATATTCAATAGTCAAACTTTGTTGAATTCTCATAATAATCAAAATTAAATAATGATCAAAATATAAAAAGAAAACAAGGCGGAAAACAAGGAAAATACTGTAAAATACTATCCGTGTCTTAACCAAGTTCCCACCTTGCAAAATTAAATTTAGCAATATTCTCAATGTTTACAATTTTTTTACTATGACACCAAATAGAATTTTGAAATATCCTTATTAATTTTAATTAATAAAATAACTAAATAAAATAAAGAAAATATAATAAAAGAAAACCATTTTACATTCTCATGCATATTCATTAAGTCATTTTAAAAGAAAATATAAATGATATATTGATAGTGTAAATTTATTTTATATTATCAATTAATTACGATCATGTATTATAATATGTTATTTTTTTATTTAAAAATTTTTAAAATAATTTTATTATTAAATGACAATGTAAAATTATATTGATACATATCCATTAAATATTTTTCAAAATATATGAATTAATTAATTTACAAATTATGCAGTATAAATTGGCATATTATGACTATCTACTATACAAAACATAACCAATATTTCATTTTCTGAAAAAGAAAATGTTTTCTCATCTAAACACTTTTCAACCCTTTTTCAACCGCTGATATTCTTCTTCCTCGTCCCTTTTTCACCACCACCGTTGGATTAATAGGTATAAAACTCTCTCTCTCTCTTAAGCTTCTTCTACAAGATTAATTAGTGATAAGTCTTTGTCATTTTGGTCTTGTATAAAGAAGATAGGGTTTTCCAAATCTTTTTCCTTTTTATTATTTTTACATTTTAATCATATCAAAAACTAACTTTGATGACCAGGTTCATAATCTACTGTAATTAGTGCAAGTTTTCATCAATCTTTTTCAGTTTAAGGTTTGGTTTGGTTCATTCATCTACTTTGATTATTTGCTTATTTGATTGATTGATTAGTAGTTCTTGTTGCTGTTGTGAGTTGAAAAGCTTTAGTGATTGTTAAGTGTTTGTTTTAATGCATGAATGAATGGAAAGTTTTGATCAAAGAGGTGGTGGTAGTAGTAATAATCAAAAAAATATTCATGCATTTGGTTCTTCTTCATTAGCTTCATCATCATCTCCCAAACCCCCAATTCAATTGAATTCTATGCCTATCAATCAAATTAATCAAATGGGTTTTCCTGAAAATCATAAAAGTTATGCTATTGGTATACCACCCTCTCACCCTAATACCAATACCAGTTTATCACCTAAACTTTCATCATCCCCTTATCCCCAGTTTATGTCTTCTTCACAATCCCAAACCCATTCTAGGTCTTTGTCTCAGCCCACTTTTCTCTCTCTAGATTCCTTTTCTTTGCCTCCGCTGAGTCCTTCACTTTATCCTTTAAGTCCAAACCCTTTTTCGGACTCGGGTTCGAAAGATGTTTCTATGGAGGAAAACTTGGTGGCCTCTCATGCTCCTTCGCCTAACCGCGGTCATGCTGTTCAGCATGGACATTGTCTTCCACCTCGTAAAGGGCATAGGCGATCTAGCAGTGATACGCCTTTAGGGATCTCAGAATTCGTTAACTCTGCTCCTCAATTGGGGAGTGATCGTCGGAATTTGGTTTCTGGAGGAGAAAATTTTGGTTCTGAGAAACCGATTCAGTTGGTGTTGAAGGATAGGAACAGTCTTGATGGTTTTGGGAGGGAGAGTTTTAATGTGAGGAAAGAGGATGATGCAGCTGCAATGGATGATTTGTTTAGTGCCTACATGAATTTGGAGAATATGAATAATATGAATTTTTCTGGTATGGAAGATAGCCGAACTAGTGGTTCGAAGACAGTTGAAAGCAGTGATAATGAAGTGGAGAGTCATGTAAAAGGAATCGGTTCTAAGGGTGCGAGTTCAAGCTGTTCAGATGAGAGGAGGGAAGGAATCAAGAGGAGTTCTAATGGTGATATTGTATCCGCCACTCGACATAGGAGAAGTTTCTCGTTGGATGGCTCCATTGGAAATTTTTATATTGAAGATGGATCGCTTAAGCTTCCTCCTTTACAAGGCCGAGCTGGTCGACTCTCGCCTAGCAATTCAATTGACAGTAGTAAAACAGCAGAAATTGGGATGGAGTTTGGAAAGGGTGAGTTCAGCTCCGAGGAGATGAAGAAAATAATGGAAAATGATAAACTTGCTGAAATTGCCGTGACTGATCCCAAGCGTGCAAAGAGGTAAGAATGGTATTTTTTTGTCTCCCGTGTTTCTGTGTCTTTCTTATGGAAAAAAATTAAAAAGTAAAACTATAATGACTCGTCGTTAATTTTGAATTCTCTTATAGGATTTTGGCCAATCGTCTATCAGCTGCTCGCTCTAAAGAGCGGAAGACGAAATATATTTCTGAGTTGGAGCACAAGGTCCAAACTCTTCAGACAGAGACTACTACATTGTCTACTCAGTTTACCAAATTACAGGTGTGTATCATCTGAGTTGAGCTTAGATTCTCTTTTCTTCGGACTGAATTATATTTTATATTGATTCTTTACTTTTTTTTTTTGGACCTATATCCAGATGGATTATTCAGAGCTTAAAAATGAGCATAACGAGTACAAATTGAGGCTTCAATCCTTGGAACAACAATCCCAACTGAAAGATGGTATGTGTATGCATTTTCCTTCTACTTTATGTTTTGATTAGCTTAAATTTATTATAGCTTATTCCTCCCTGTGATTGAAGTGCTAACTGTTTTCTTTTAAGGTGCTGGTTGTGTTTTTTTTTTTATGTACGGAAATAACCTGCATATATGATCACGCTCAAGGTGTCTGGTTTTCTTATTTTATGTGGAATAACAGTATTTTACTTTGATATTTTTTGGTGTTTGAATATAGTAATTCAATCTTTGTTGTTTAAACTCTGAAATGGTTGTTGTTAACCAACGAAAGAACAAGTGATTTTTGATCCAATCTTGTTCAATAATCTCTGCACAGCTGCACCTTTTACGTTTTCCTGTCTGGCATAGGAATTTGATTTCATCTTGAGTAGTGTCGGCATATTTGGAACCCAATTGCTTTTTTGTACTTGTACTACACTGTTCTGAAGCTCTGTTTTGCATGTTATAACCTCTTTAAACCTGTATATATGTTTGAATATTATTTTGACTTCAATCGAGCGCAATAGAAACAACAATTACCAACCTTAATGGGATCGGCTATACGGATCATTTTCCATCTTAGTATCATGTGTTAAGTGCAATGATATATTGCTTACCTTCGGTGTAGTCAATTGTGGATCACGGAAAATAGTAGTCTGTTAAATTCCGCTATGCTACAAGTCTATAGTAGAGTTATACTATAGCCTTTATTTGACTGCACATTATATTCAATAGTGTATCACATGACAATAGTGAACAATAATGATTTTGTTCAAATTCCGCTACGAAATAGCGCCGCCATTTGACACCATTAATTACCTATAAATTCTCTAAATGGTTTGGCCTTTTGATGTACTTAATCTGTCGATACCCCTACTTATTATACTTATTAGTCCGTTTTTTAGTTTGTCAACCTTCCTTAGTTGTTAAATAGCCGCCATAGTGGCGCTATACAGCTAGAGCATAGCGGGATTTGGACAAGTCACTATTGTTCCGCAATACACTATCCAGTACAATTGTTGTCAAGTAGACACTATAGCAGTTTGAACATGATTCTATTTGTCTCCATTTCACCACCATCCCTTTAGAAACACTTTTCTGTTCTGATTTTGTGCTGGAATTGAACATCTCCACCAGACCAAATATTTAGCTATGTATTCATTTGTGTTCTTATTTTGTCAGCTTTGAACGAGACTTTGGATGCCGAAGTCCGGCGCTTAAGACGCACTGTAGCAGATCTTGGCGGAGAGTCCCTCCTCTCTAGTCTCATGACTCGGCAGCTAGTTATTAACCAACAAATGCTCCAGACTCAGCAACAGCAGCCAAACCAGCTTAGAAATTTCCAACTGCAGAACCGCCAATCTCAGGAAGAAACACAGACTCAGGTGCAGCAGAATATTCAACGCAATCATGAATTCCAAACCCAGCATCAGAATGGCAAAACTACTGCATAATCTTGCAGTAAATGGTACAAAACCAATTCATGATATATGGTTGCCCTTTATTCAAACTCTTGCTAAAATATATATATTTTATATGTAGCTGATGGCTTATAATCAGTTGTATATAAGCAGTGAACTACACCAGTTTGCCTATTTAGGCCTGTTCATTATCTTTAGTCTTTAGTTTAAAATTATTTCCTTCTAAATAATTTATTTTACCCATGTTGAACTGGGAATGTTTTTTCATGTTGGTATACAACAACCTTTTGGTCATATTATGAATACATTATACAACTCTATTATTCCTTATGATTACATTGCACACACACATACACATCTTGGTATTTATTTTTGTTAAATGAGTTCAGCTATATGTTGAAATTTGAATGGTTCAACTAATAAAATGTTTAATGTCCAAGACTTGAAAATATAGAATTTTAATTTAAAAACTGTTGTCGGTGTTGAATTAATCTAGAATTGACTGAAGATTGAACATGTGCTTGTGTTTAATTAGTTTAGAATAGAATGAAGATTGTCAAAGTCATATTAAAAAAATACAATATAAAAACCCATCTAACATGCACACATTTTAACAATGAATTTACTCTTTTAAGAATCATTATTTTATGTACTGTCTGTAAGTCATGCAAATTGTTGACTAAGTAATATTTTTTGCAATATATCCAATACAAAAAGTAATATAGCAAATATGATTAACTTTTTTATGAACATTATTTATCATTGAGGTTTCAAGGCATGCAATAAAACAGAACAAATAGTCAATAGTATGTACACACACACTAAGGTTTTCTTTTCCTAGGAACAAGGTAAAGATCAATTTTCTTATGCATAGTAATTCCTGGTTTCACTTCTGTATCCAAAACCTCTTCCTTATCAAAACCATAAGGCAATTTCCAATCAAAACAATGAAGAATATTAGCAAGTGAAAGTTCAACAGTCACAACTCCCATGTTCATTGCAGGACACATTCTTCTTCCACTTCCAAATGGAATCAACTCAAAATCCTTCCCTTTATAATCCACTCCACTCGTAAAGAATCTTTCAGGATAAAACTCTTCAGGATCTTCCCAATCCTCAGAATCTCTTGCTATGGCCCATGCATTAACATACACTAGAGTTTTTGGTTTAATATCATAACCATCTATGTTGCAATTTTCTAATGTTTCTCTTGGTAATAGTAATGGTGATGGAGGGAATAATCTTAGTGTCTCTTTCACCACTGATTTAAGATAAGGTAGCTTTTCAATATCATCTTCATTTATGAAATCTTTGTCTTCATATAAGTTTCTCATTTCCATTTGAACTTTTTTCATCACTCTTGGATTGTTCATCAATGCTGTCATAGCCCAAACTACTACTGCTGCACTTGTGTCTGTTCCTGCCATAAAGAAATTCTGCATATATAAGATATAAATATGTTTAATTAACTGCATAAACTTATTAATTAACATATCATTTTGTTTAATGAAGTATAAAATATAAATATGTTTAATTAACTGCATAAACTTAACTATTAATTAACATATCATTTTGTTTAATGAAGTAGAAGATGAAGAATGATGAATTTTGTTAAAAATTGTGGATGAGCCTAAATCATCCTGCATGATTGAGTTAGGTCCAACCATATTTTTTTAACATGGTATCAATAGTTTCGTTTAAGATCTGATGGGTCATATGCTATTACGTTTCCTTTATTCAGTCACCCACAATTTATTTTCACGTTCTAGATGTCCAGTTCTAAGGCGTGAGAGAGTGTGTTAAGAGTCTCACATCAGACAATATATTACATGAACGTGTACTTATAAGTGAGGGTAATTATCAGCCTGTAAACTGGATTTGTAGGGATGAGTTAGACCAAACTACGACTCTTAATCAATTTAAATAATCCATTATTTTACTTACACTATTTTTCTATCATAGTAGAGGGATGAGTTCATACCATAAGCATAGCTTTGATGTGGTCAAGAGTGAGATCAAAAGGGAGTGAATGATCATTCATCATTTGCAAGAAGATATCAATGTATCAACTACTTCATGTTCCTTAGTTTTAGGCCATGCTGAATTTTCCATATGGTCATCAATGACTTTTTGGTATATCAAATCCAACTCCATGAAGGTTTTTTCAAGCCTCCAAAGAGTTCCTCTAACTCTGTCAACCCAACCCAACAATGGAAAATGATCAGAAAAGTAAAATTCACTCAACAAAGCTTGAGCTTCATTAAGCAAAAGATGTAATCTACTTTTCCTTACTCCACTTCCCAATTCAACTTCTCCATAATCAAAATCATACTTTTTCCCAAAAGCTATCTTACATATAAGTGTATTTGTGAAAGACATCATTGCTTCACTCAAGTTAACACCTTTTTCATCACCATCATATTGTGACAACTTTTGAATCAATAGGGCCACTTCATTTTCTCTAATGGACCTAAAAGATTTAACACGTTGAGAACTAAAGAGATGAAGAACACAAAGTTTTTTCATCTCTCTCCAATAAGGACTATAAGGTGCAAAACCCAAATCTAAACCATTGTATGACAATTTTCTTAGTCCTAGGAAAGATGGTCTACTTGCAAACTTAAGGTCATGAGTTTTCATGACATGTTTTGCCATATTTGATGAGGAAATAACTAAGGTTGGTGTATACCCAAAGTGCAAAAACATCATAGGTCCATAGTGTTTGGAGAGTTTCCATAGGGAAAGATGTGGGGATGAAGTGTCAATTTGGTGTAGATTTCCTAGTAGAGGAAGAGGTGTTGGGCCTGGTGGAATTGATGAGACTTTTGTAGCATTCTTTGTTTTGTGTTTGTGGAGGATGAATAGAATAAAGATTGGTAATAATAGATAAACAAGCACAAAGAGTATCCATGATGCAACCTTGCAAAATTTATCTCTTTTTTCTACTACATTTATAAGCCTGGTCAAGGTGACATGGATAATCGGTTAACAATATTTAGCCATTGATACACAAGGATTTTTTAAATCTATTAAGCTTTTGTTTTTTGGTTGTCATCGTGAGGATATTGTGTGCAAATGAAACAACTTTAAACACGTAACGTAACCTGCAACATTATAATAATGTCTCTTTCTTTCTTGCGTTTAAATCGTCTCAATTTCTCTTTCTCTCTATTTTGTAATTTTGTGGAAATACCACATTTTTTAAAACATGTAATATATATTTAATGTTTATTGGATTACTTACCCATAAAACTATAGTAGTAGAACTATTTATTTCTTTTAGACTTTGTTTGAAAGTTTAAAAGAGAATGGAGGAAAATATTTTGAAAAAAGAAAATTATTAAACGAGAAGAATATAATGATTTAGGTAAGTAGGATTTTTGGGGATTTACTTTTATTTAGAAATTAAAATTCTCCTAATTTAGAAAATTAAAAAATTGTATTGGACGAAGTTTGTAGGATATTTTAAGTCTTATATAAATTGTTTAAATATAATTTTTGTTGTTATAATATTTTAAAAATTAAAAATATTGTTATGGGCCGACCAGATCAATCTTATATCGTTCTAGACCGATCATATCAACCCCGACAAATTATCAGGAAGTGATCCCACTTCTTCTAGAATCTTTTCAGTATCCAATGATAGCCATCCTTATGATCTGAAGAGACTCTCCGCAAATGACGACGAACAAATATGTAGTTCGCTATATATATATATATATATATATATATATATATATATATATATATATATATATATATATATATAAAGTTGGAGGCAAATTGAAGTAACATGTTTTAAATTCAATTTTATTTCACTCTTATTTCTCACATACTTGACTTGAGCGTTGAAGTGCTAAGTTTAAAGCTCCTTCCACTCCACCGTGTCGAAAGCTCCGATCGACCATCATCGTCGTTCATCTTCTCAATTCTCATTCCAAAATGGAACGATAAGAATAGACTCCTAATCCCTACGATTTCCACGAATTCACATTCTCTCTCAAATTCTTCAGTTAGCAACTTCCTCCAATCAACGGAATAGAAAGCGTTCACGATCAAGTGCGAGGACCCATAACATCTTGATTCATCCAAGCGTAATCTCAATTATGTTTTCTCATATTTTCAGATCTCTAGTTCCTATAATTTTTGGTGATGGTTGCATGAAGTTGATGTCGTTGTTCTAGCAGCAAGAAATCCACCACCTCAAGCGAATCTTAGTATGTAAGGTGATAACGAACTGTTGAATAATATGTTTAACATTGTTCGACAATAAAATTCACGCACTTTTGAAGTGAGGCTTCAGTGCCTAGAAAAAAGCCTTCATTACGTTCCCTCCCGAAAAAATACAATCCACGAAGTTGCTTCAGGAAAAACTTGTTTTACTGTCCATGAACTAGCTGGGATAAATAGAGACAAGGCTCGTCGATCGAAGGATCCACATAAAATTAGGAGGCACCTAACTCTTCCTCCCAACCCCGGTAGAGACCAGGACAATCATGTTCTTTCCCCGACTCAGGCAAAAACTCACTTGTGAAAGGAGCAACCAAAGCACTCACTGTCAGTAAGAATCCTAGAGAATAAGATCTTGAAATCTATGGAGAAGTCGCCCAAGCTGAGCGATTATGACGAAAATGAAGATCCTGACGAACACATACAACTTATGAACGATTGGCTTAATTACTTCAGTGACGATGACACGTCCAAATACAAGTTATTTACGTTATGGTCGGGTCGACCCAATTATGGTTCAATGGTCTTCCCAACGGAAGTATCGGTTCTTAGGTGTAGTTTTGTGAGAGGTTTTCGACGCAATTCATATCCTGGAAGAGACAATTTATAATTGAAGTTTCCCTAAGAAGGATCATGCAGGGTAAGAAAGAAAGTTTGCAGTCGTATATAGATTGATTCATACAGGTATCTATTGAGGTAGAAGGGACTCAAGAAGTTCTTCATTGCTGGATCTTCAAGAATGACCTTCAAAGAGACCATTCTTTCAGGCGAAAGTTATGGAAGAAGAAGGTCAAATTAGTCCAGGAAATGTTAACCATGGTCAGAACTTACATGATCCTGGAAGAGAAGTTGACCACGTGTTTTGGCCACTACAACGAATAACACTTTTTATGACGAAGCTTTCATCTCCAACATGATAAAAACCGAGAGGATATATTCTGGGAGCACAATGTTTTATTTTTTAATAATATAAACAATATTTTACGTCCGTGTTATATAAAACCGAGATAACACAGTTATAAGTTATCGCTTTTTTAATCCATAAAAATTAATAAACCCATTGTCTCGGTTTTCTTGAGAACTGTGGTAGTATAGCTATAAGGAACCTCAATTCGAATTTCCGTTGTCGCATTTAAAACTTTTTCAATGATTTATCACATGACATCTTTTCCAACATGCTAAAAACTTTGTTATCAATAAACAAGAATAGAAAATAATAGAAAAAAGAAATATCTCATTGGTAATAAAAAAAAAACACAACAAAGGAAACTACTCAACAAATTCAAACTTCTCAGTCCACTCAATTTCAATATTACCCCTAATTATCCCTAACTTATATAAAAGTTCAGAAAGAACTTTTCCATAAGGCATGAGAAAAGCCATTTCCTCTCAAAAAGTCTTTATCGGTTCCTTTAAGAAGTTGAAAATGGTCAGAGGAAGATTAACTATGATATTGTAGGTGAGGAATAACAAAAGATGCTTGTGATATCAAGTAAGCGTTTCCAGGTATTTCTCTCTTGGGAGGAGATTTGCCACTAGAAGTTGAAACCGAAATTTTTCAATTGGGATTAGAGAAGCATGACTTGAGAGCTTAGTTTGGTTGACATAAATTTAGTGAAGTTTGGTTGAGTAGACATTGTTGAATTCATAGCGTTCAACGCAATTACCTATCTCTTGACAGTTGATTGTCATTGCAATCGGTGATGGAGTAATGAAGAAAAGAGAGTCATTGACATAAGACCGAATGACTTCATCATGACAAGCTGACACAACAGAGGCATTCATCTAAAACTCTTTAACAAGATTAATGTATATGGGACCGTTAAGAATTTGAAAGTAATCATTGAAATCAATATACTTTTCATTGATAACGAACAACAAATTTGCATCCATTTATGATAAGAAAAAAGGACTTTGAAACAAGGAAACAAGACATGGAGAGTTGGTAATGAGACGTTGAAAATAGGAAAATATTTTTAAATAATGTTTAAAGACACAACGAGTTGGTAATTAGACGTTTAAATAGCTCAAAAGCCTCATTGATAATCCAAAATAGACGTTACGGCTTGAATATAGATGATCATTGTTATTCTAGCTAAGTGATATTATTCTAATGCATGTGCGCCACGTACGTGTTCAAACTACTTTGAATAGTAGACAAAGCTTGGTCCTACATCTCCACGGTCCTCACCAGATGAGCCACCTGATCCAAAAGAGAACATTTTTCAAGGGAAGCAAAACATTTTTCACCCCACAAAGACATGTAAAATCTTTATTTGATTCATGCAAGTACCTATCTTGCTGAAGCCTCAGATCGCTAATATTGTACTTCATTCATTGCTTTTTAGCACGATGTCAGTCGGACCAAAAAACCTCCGAATAATAGAAACACCCAAGGCCAAGACAGTTGAGGCACCACAGGTATACCTAGCTAGAGTGTACAGTTCTTCCTCCAGAACATGTCCATAAATGTTAGCTAAGTAAGCGCAGTCCTCATCCAAAAGATGAAGGTCGTGACCTCCGATAAAACGAGAGCCATACCCTGTCAATAGAGGTTGGAAAGCTAGATCGGGGACATTTGACAAAGTCAGTAAGTTCTCTGCAGCAATGTCGTTCCTAACTGACCGTGCTTTAGAAGCTGGAACTGCTCTTCAATATCCATGCATTATGCATACAGTTACGAGTAAAACATATACATCTGAGACATGCATGCTAAAAATATCATAAACCCCGAAGAACCAAAGCTTACCAAAAATGGTTTTTCTCTCTTCTTGAGAGTGGGCTCTTATTAAAGATTGGAAGTCAATAAGGCACTTTAAACGTTTCTTGTCAACCTTCTCCGCCAGAGTACCTCCTTCGATGTATCCCAAATTACTGATAAACTTTATTAACTGACCCTTCTGGTACGGAGCCTCATCGAATAAATCCTTTTCATTGTATACATAAATACAATTATCCAGTATAAAGTGACTCTAAGTCAAATACTTAGAGAACAAGTCATGACATCTTCCTTCCACTCCAACACCGATGTTGCAAACTGAAGCATGATCTTCAAAGTTGATTGAGGTTACTAGAAAGAACTGGTCCCTTATAGAACTGAAGCTCCAGAAGAGGTCAAAAGTCATGAATAGTAGACTTAAAGTAGAGTAATCCTCTACCCTAGTCTAGGATGTTGGGTCACGACAACATTTGAAGCGCTGAAAGAAGAGTAAAACACAAGATTTTCTTTTCACATAATCACATGTATACTTTCATATTTGCGCAACATGAAGGTTGAAATAACAGAGGAGCCATACCTAGATGTTTCAGAACCTCTACTTCAAAAGTAGTGAAAGGGAGACAAAGGCCTGTGGTGGAAAAAATTCATATAAAGGAATAGTACAAGCACCATACTTGTCGCATACTCTTTCCTCCTCAGAAGTACT